ATACCTAATCTGAATGTATGAGTCAGTTCGCTAATGTTCAACAATTAACTTGGAACCTTTCAGACTTTTCTCTTTGGATATATACAGGGTGATCCACGGTGGATGGCCTATCAGAAGTATCTGGAGAAAGAAAAGACAGAACATTCTGAAAATTGGGATCCTTTGATGATTGAACATTCTCTATCCGTTTAAAATATTTTCATCGATACAGTGTTGCCACTTCTATTAGAAACAACCAGCAACTTTGTTATTTCTAATGGAACACCCTGTATTTTATTGCATTTTCAGATTCTTCCTGAAAAGCTGATTTCATCAATCTGTCACACTTGGGGTCTAGGAAGAATGATTACAGAGATATAGGGTGTTCAAAATCGAGATTTTTCAATTTTAATATTTTTTTGTGTCGAAACTATTCATTATCGATGAAAACGGCTTACCTGTCTTAATTTTTGATTCACTATCCACTGATCAAACATCAGCAACTTCACAATCAGCATGTGATACAAGAACAAAAGGTTATGGCGTCTATATTCTGTCATTGAAGTAAAAGTGTCGAATGTCTACTTCTGCCAATGGAGTTCATGTAAGACATTTCGGAAACTTCAGTTATCAATCATCCGGAAATGAGATGTGAGAAAGAAAAACTGAATTGAATGATCAGTCAATCTCACTGAAATTATTTTATATCTATTTCCGTACTCCTAGATATTTTATTCATGCCCTTTGTCAGCTGTAGTGATTTTTGGCAGTAAACTCACCTTGGATTCACCTTGGCCTTGGAATTAGTTAATATTTGGGTTTCAAATCTGCTTAGTTATACAGACAGACGAATTTTTCATGTTCCTTTAAATCCTCATTTGGACTACCTAGACAATAAAATATTCATATAAACGTCTATTCAGGCAGATGAATGCAGACTTTTTGGTAAGGTTAGAGTTGTTTCATGGTATAATATTCAATGAAACGAATTTGTCGAACATCGTATTTTTATAACACTTGTTACGACCAAAAACAATTGCAATCAGTTTTGGAACGCAAAAATATCAATAATAAATAACTGAACAGGTGCGGACTTGAGAATAAAAGTTCTTTTATCTCTTGGAGAGCGCACGAAAGGGTACCCTATAATCTTCGACAAACATCGTGCGAAAAGCAAGTGGAGGTATAGGTATTGGGCTTTTTTGAACCTTATGGAGGTTATAATTTCTTAATAATACTTCCATGGGCAAAGATTCCCAAAGCTTGGCGGTCAATAGGCGAACAAGGCTTATCCAGTTTGTCTGACTTGTTCTTGCTAGTGATGGAGTGATAGCAGAGAATTCTGAAAAACTTTTCCAATGATGTCAAAGAGTTAGTGATTGTGGCATCACCCACCAGGCGGATTGCTCTTCTCTAGATGGAATCTAAGAGCATCAGCGTTTGATTGGGTGCTGAACCCCATATATGAGGACAGTATTCTTTAGAACACACCGTATACGCGCTTTGTAGATCATGTGCGGCTATCAAAGTGTGAAGTAGATTTTTGCACGGAATATAGATGTTTTTGTGAAGCAGCTTCCGCGATGGATTGAACATAATTTTTCCATAAAATGGTATTGCTGCTTGGTGTGAATGGTGGTACCAGACATTGCTATATCATCAGGCATATTGAGTTCTGCATTCTAGGGAAAATACAGGCTCGAGTTTCGATGGCGTTGAATTCAAGTAGAATGTTGGTTTTCCAAGCTCTAATTTCATCAATATCTTCATCGACAGCGTTCACCAGCATTCGTCATTCTTAGTTTCCTAGGAAAAAGTGGTAATTCTGAAAGAGAACGCAGTATGGAGAGTACTGTCAACTGTTTACCACCCCATGAAGCGATCTGCCTGAAAGAAAACTCAATGAAAGATGGCATAGCTAGAGATTCCCCATGTTTTTCTGATCAAGCCCGCCGTATATGGGTGACGTAGGCAAGTAAATCTTCAGTTTCCAGGTGATCTTCTTTCTATTATCCTGAATGATTCCTGAGCTTTCCAGATATTTGATAACAGGGCAATAGTCATATAATTGTTGCCATGCTCTTTTTTCCTTTCTGTGAAGAGGATGGAATCTAGCTATTTTTCAATTGGTATCAGTTCTGGTGAACACCTTTTGAGTTAGGCCTACTTAGCGTATATTGGAAGTCAAATCACTTCTATCGCCCCGAGATGGAACCATTGAATGTGAAAAAATTAGATAGATTCTTGATTCCTCAAATTCGAGATGCAAATCATTCACGATGTAAGTATAGATATTCTTGTTATAGTATCTGGCACTATTGTGTACTGATTCAAGCTTATTGCGAATGAAAACATAATCACGGTTACTCCAATGTTTTCAAAGCATACTACAGACTAATACATTCAAGAAAATGGGTTACAGCTAGACATCAAAACATCCTGTCATGCGGATCATTATTCAAAAAGGAGCAACTGGACAGCGAGGACGTGGTGCAAATTTAATACAGGGTATTTCAGAACAACGTATAATGAATTCCATCAGGTGAACTAGAGCCATCTATACCTATATTATACACACAAGAATAATTATTAATCAGAATCGGAAAACTAATTCATTTGAAAATAAATAAATCGATAAAATGACCAATGTTTTGATAACACATTAGCGTGAGTCGCTTTTTTCTTCATCATCACTTTTTTTGACATGGATTCGATGGTGGAAGAATCTTCGTTCGAACTTTCCTTGGAAGTGCTATCTAAATTCGACCTTATTTGGTTTCTTGTTTCAGAATCGTTGCTATCGATCGCACTGTTGCTTCTCTGATCTTCGTTCCGCGTCCTTGCAACCTTCTGCTCGTAGAAGAGGATGTACTATGCTTCTCCATTCACGATAGATTTAGATGATTTCTGTGAAACAATCGAGTCATTGTACTCGTGCCATAAGTTTGTGATTGGGTGTTTACAATATGCTGTGTAGTGTCCAGACAACGTTGTTCCACTGTAATTAGATACAGCATAAGGATTATATCTACAAGGGATTTCATTATTTGTTGTATAAATTACCCATATCCAAATCTTCTAGAGGAAAATCAATGGTGATGTTTATTTTTCCATGAAATTTCTCCGATTGCGAGAAACGTTTTAAATGGATCACTAGAATATTAGGGAATTTATATATCAATAAAGACTTCGTGAAATTCCTTGTTTCCTGAGGTTGAGAATCATGAAGTTTGAAAACATACAGATATCATTCATTTTCGATAATTATTTTCACAGAGACCTCCAGAGAGACCCCAATAAAACTGATGACTATACCTTCTTATTCGAACGTGCACACATAGCGTTATTCTACTTCGAAATAAGTACATAAAAATACAGCAAAGTCTGTTTCTTGCAATTTTTTCCCAAAATTTCTAATAATCTCAACGCATTTCGGTTGGGAAACCCACTCAAAACTTCTTCGCGACCTGGGGTAGATCACCCTGTACACAAAATTGCACAATTAGCCGCGAGAGGTCTACGGTAGTGAAGAATCTTTCAGCAAAAATGAGTATCACGTGACCATTCTCAATGCGACATTTTTTTCATACATATTTTTTTATGTTCTGGTTCCCACGAAAAGGGACATCCTGTAATGTTCAGAAAACATCGTGAAAACCGAGGGAAATAAGGTAGGAATTGGTGTTCTCCTCAAATTTCTGAAGGTTATATGCCTCGGGGAACACCTCCCTTGGCAATGTGTTCCGAATGTTTATTGGTTACTGAACAATCATTGTTAGAGACCTTGTATAACTGAAATTTCATCAAACACAAAACATGAATAACCTATGTGCAAATTTGTTCAATATTTGGATGCCCATTCTAGAGGGTTTCAACTCTTGCTTGATGATGATTCATGAATATAGGCCGAAACTCAGAACTGAATAGTACAGGTGAAAATATGACGGGGTTCAGATGAATCATTCTCCTGAGTCCCTGTTTTACGGAGATATTCGTCTCCAGAAGTAGACATCGAAATGAAGATTTCATTCGATAAGAAATGACGTCATACAATGAGAGGATCAAATTATTTTTGTTTCAAAAAGATTCTCTTTCGTATGAACAACAGCTCTGAGAAAATAAGTGCTTCCTTCAATAAAGAGAGTATTGAATAGGTACTTCAAACCATATTCTCTTACAATCTCACACATACTTATTAGAAAAAACGGGGATAAATATTGTCAAGAAGTATAAATGCCTATGAATTAACATCACTCAAACTCGTTGATTTCAAGAACTTTTATCAGGAATTAATTTTTCCAAATTTAAACATCCAGTTCGGTGTAGTTTTGATCAGAATTTGTAAGAACCGCTTACCGTGCGATAATACCTAGGTAAGCAATATCGAAAGGTAATGGCCATTCCAAGTGCGGAAAATTGCGAATCTAGTATCGATTTCAAATAAATATAAATAAAACCCGAATCGATAAGGCAGGGGCATTATTAGTTCAATTGTTATTCGATTCATCACTAATTATTATATCAAAATCAGTACATAACACTCATTCATCGATTGCTGACTCCCAAAGTCTCCTCGACTTTGGTGCTGCTGCCCATAATATAATGTAAGTACTTTGTTGTACTTTTGAAGAACTATTTTCTTCATTTGGGGATGAATATGCTTGGGTGGTAAAATGATAAGCAAGTAGCAAAGTTAACGACCTATAGAAGGGCCAACATCTGAGTTGCGACATGTGGTGAAGGCGCCGTTTGTTCTCAATAATGCCATATAACCTACAATATATTCAAATTCATATTGTTATTTTCACGTGTACCTTTCAATCCAATGAGTTTTGGTATTACACTATTACTACTCTAAAAACTCGTACTGAACTTTCTTTTCACAGAAAGCAATCCAGCGCATATCCCAAGAATCAGATCTAGTTCCCAAAAACGATGCCCTAAATTTTCGTATACGACTATGCCTATTAGCTTCCACTGAACAAATCCGAGTTGCATAATGAAGGGTCGGAATACTTCTACTCGAATCATCTATGCAAATACATCGAATAAATGTATCAACTTATGATAATATCTGTCTATAAAACCAACCGTAGCTTCTTCACACATCAGACAACGTTAACGTTACTTCTCCGATCCGTTGCTCTCCAATTATCATCCAATAACAGTTGCACAGTGCAGTGTCGAAATGTTTTTCCTAGCAGCCTCCATATCTTCAACCAACATCCTTCTGATACTAGCGATAGTAGCTTTACCTTTGCTGTGTATCGAGATATACTACCGAAACAAGCAAAAGGCACACAAGCTGACCAAAGATGGACTCCGACAAGCACCTACACCCAGGAAACTACCAATACTCGGACATCTCCACCTTCTGGGAGGCTATGAGGTACCCTATCAAGCCTTCAGTGCCCTAGGAGAGAAGTTTGGCAACGTGGTGAACCTGCAGCTAGGAAACGTCAAGTGTGTAGTGCTCAATGGACAAGCAAACATCAGAGAAGCTTTGGTCACCAAAGGGCATCATTTCGATTCCAGGCCAAACTTCCAACGATATCAGCAGCTCTTCTCAGGAAATAAAGAGAACTGTAAGTAGAAATTGAAATACCTACTGTCAGTTACCTCTCCTGACCAAACTCAGTACAAAGGAGGAAGTACTTTGACCTTCATTGTCGGACTGATGGAGATTTTACTTAGATTAGCCTAGTATCTGAGATTCAAATATATCGAACTTCAGAATCATTTGAAGCTCCATCTAGACCACCCTCGTCATGAGACTCGCAGTTTTCATTTCTTCAACGTTTCTGGAAAGCCTTGACTTGTCTCCCCCAAGCGTTGAAGTCTCTTAGTAACAAAGATATGTACTGTTGTATCCTCCTCATCCTAACAGAATTGAGCCCACTTCAAACGTAAAATCAACAATGGTACGAACAAGACAATGCTAAGCTGATCACTACACACTACACTAACGCAGCGGTATTATTTCTAACTATGTAATGTTCATTTTTGTTTCAGCATTGGCATTCTGCGATTGGTCAGACATCCAGAAAGCTAGGAGGGACATGCTGAAGACCCACACCTTCCCAAGAGCGTTCACCAACAAATACACGACATTAGAGTACCTCATATCCAGCCGAACCGAGGCTATGATCGCCCAAATCGAACCCAACCAAACCACAGAGCTCAAACCACTCATCCTAGCTCACTGTGCTAACGTTTTCCTCAGTCATTTCTGCACCAGAAGCTTCGAATCGAACAACAAGGGTTTCATCGAGATGATTGAAAACTTTGACGAAATCTTCTACGAAGTAAACCAGGGCCATGCTGCTGATTTTCTCCCGTTCCTGATGCCTCTCCACAAGAAGAACCTCCAACGTATGAGCAAACTGACGCATGAAATCAGAGATTTCGTCGAGAAAGAAGTGATTGGGGACCGATTTGAAAGCTTCGATGTGGAAAGTGAACCGGAGGACTACGTTGAGAGTCTAATTCAGCACGTGAAGTGCGGAAAATCGCCTGATCTTTCCTGGGACTCCGCCATGTTTGCCCTAGAAGACATCATCGGTGGTCACACAGCAGTGGGGAACTTCCTGATGAAGCTGTTTGGGTTCTTGGTTAGCGAACCTGAGGTGCAGAGGAAGATCCAGGAAGAGATCGATGAAGCTGTGGAGAATGGTCGCTTGGTTACTATTGGCGACAGGAATAACATGCCTTACACTGAAGCTGTCATATTCGAAGCTGTTAGACTCATCGCATCTCCTATCGTTCCCAGGGTGGCGAACCAAGATAGCTCCATTGATGGTGAGTATCCTTTCAAACTGCACATGCTCAGTAACAATAATTTTCATCTCCCTATAATATAACTAAAACTATAACGAACTGAAATCTGAATTATAATTTGTTGACATAACTACTGTCATCGGACATTTGTTTTTGGCTGTATGATGAATTGATTTTCATCATACAGGACTTTAAAAGAAATTCTGAATTGATGAAACCTAATCACGAATCTGCGATTGAAGTCTAGAAAAATAACAAGTTTCCATCATTCAAGTTTGGACCCCTCGATTGGGAGAAAGTATTGAAAAGGAATGTTATCAGATGAACACAAAAAAATGGATATATATATATGAAGAAATACATTGAGAATTCGCATTCTCCATGTGATGAAAATGTTGATTCTTTCTCGGTTTATTCAACAAAGAACAACTACTTTCCTGGCTATATGCCACGACGAATATTTAAAATTACCACAACAAGTATTTCCTGAAGCTCTTTGTGAAATAGGTTAGATAGACAGGGTGTGTGAATGTAACAATACTTATAAATCATTCTCTCTTATTCATAGTCACTTTTTCATTCATAACTCTCGTTATATAAATTGTTGTCTTATTGTTTCAGGTTATAGTATCGAAAAGGGGTCAGTGATGTTTTTGAACAACTACGATTTGAGTATGTCCAATGAATTGTGGGACAAGCCACAAGAGTTCTTGCCAGAAAGGTTCATAAAGAATGGTAGAGTGGTGAAACCAGAGTATTTTCTGCCGTTTGGAGGTGGTAGAAGAAGTTGCTTGGGATACAGGATGGTGCAGCTCATTTCTTTTGGCTTCCTGGGTGGTTTGATGCAGAACTTCAGTATCGTTCCCGTAGAAAATGAATCGTACAAAGTTCCCATAGGATCACTTGCTTTGAAAAAAGATACTTTCAAATTTTGTTTCGTGAGGAGATGAATTCATTGGAGGAGATTTTCGGATTTATATTCCAAAAACCATCAAAGAAGAGCTGGTGATATAATTTATTATGTATTTATAATGTATGAATTATTTATTTTCTGAATGTACAAGATATTTATTGTTTTCTGTTTATCGATTTAATCGACAGACTTTGTATATTTTTTTACTATTAAAAAAATTACCTACAAAAACGCTATATTTTTCTTCAATACCAGCTATACTCAGTAAAAAATGAATTTGGAAATATAGGATTGAACATGAAACGAAAAATATAGAATTGAACAGTTTGATGATGCGAGATTTATTAGGAGTCAAACTTATCTAGTTTCTTACTTTTTTATCTACAACAACACGATGTTCATTGGAATCGTTCTCTACTATCATTATTATCATCATGATAAATTGTATTCACATATGTATCAACCCACAGAATCTTTTGAACATTGAACTGTTTTGAATTCTCGCCAAATCGTCATTTCAATCTAGGCTGTGGCTGGATGCTATTATTCCGGGCAAACTTCTGTCATGTGATAAGGAGTTGAAACAATGAGCAAATAAAAGGAGATGATGTCGCCTTTGCGAATATACAAGCGTGCCGCGATTACTCATTTGAGTTAGTGGCAGAGCGTCAATACTTCCAAGAATATTTCTTCCCCCCCCTCTAAAGATAGTATCCGATGAACCAGTGTAAAACTCAACAAGGCATGAGTTTCACACTGATCCATCGGGTATTATCTTTCGACGAGGGCAAAATATTCACGGAAATATTGACGTTCTGTCACTAACTTAGAGCAATTTGAATCGGGACATTTTTGTCTTTTATTCGCTTCTTGTTTCAACTCGTTATCACATGACGAAAGTATGTCAATAATAGGAACAAATACATCGCTGTGCCGGCTCAGACTGCATGAGGGGTGCAACAGGTAGGTTTCTCAGATCTACCATTCAATTGGTATCGGATGGCATAATTCTTATCTCGTTTCCAAATCGCGAAATCGAGTGCAAATTTCCGCACAGGAAAGTGCAATTCTTTAATCATCTTGCTCAGGATATTGATTGATGGCACAGGTGCCGTTCGATGAACTACAATGTTTCTACTTTCCTTTGAGATATATATCATTTCGTTATCAGATGACGGCAGAAATCTGCATCGCAGCTGGCTCATTTACTATCATTATTATCGTTATTATTGGTACCATCATCATTATCATCATTATCACCATTATCATGCTGTATAGAAAGGATATAGTAGTTCTGTTGATCTTGGTAATCAAGAATAACTGAATTGCCGATCCATCAGGATGAAGCTATAGATTTATAGATATCATAATTTTTCGAATAATGTGATTTGAAGCAAAGGTTTTCCACTCTCTTGGGACATCTCTGGAGCCTTTGAAGAGCAGTAAGTAAATGTATTGAAAAAATCTCTCCTTCCTAGCCTGGCTAGTTCATAAATAGTGATGAAAATGTTGGAAAGAATCTAGTTCAAGCTCACATAAATACCAGAAGCAGTTATTCTGTATGCAGGTCGAAATTTGAATGAACTTCCTAGTACGTTGCGGTACTATACCATTTCGAATATATTCAGTACATTAACTTTGACACAAATAACGGGTGAATCCGAATAGAAGTTCGTAGTATCGAAAAAAAATATAATCAGCAAGTCAATTCGATCGAAACTGATCGTAGGTAATCAGATCGGGACTAGTATTGAAAATTAATTATATAATACAATACCTAATACCGGAAAATGTAGATGATTTTTCGTATAAAGTTGCTCTATGTGTTTTTGTTCTAAGTAAGTCACCACTGCCTGTTGAATATCTGTAGGACTGGGAGTTTGATTGTAACTCATTTTCCAATTTTTTTTATGTATACAACACAGTGATAGATGTAGATACATGGTGTTGTGAGAGCTATGAATACTCTGTCAATGTGGCTGCTACTTCTCCATAGAATTGATAAAACAGAATTCATCAGTGCATAGTACCCGTCGAGATGGGATTTTTCGTCAAATATATTTTTCAATTGTAACATTGCATAGAAGTTTGAGCTCAGTTTTTCACAGACTGAGCTTACATGCGTTTTCCAGCTGATATTGTTATCGACAAATGTTCCTAAAAATTTTGTAGATTCAGAATCTTCCATAAAACTCAATAAGTACTGTTTCATCGGCATTAATCATCAGCCTGTTATTATGACACCAAGTGACAAACCTAATGGCAGTTCAGTTTATTTCATTTTCAAGTTCTACGGTACTGTCTGCTGCCTCCGCAATTGATGTGTCAAGGGCCCTAAAACCGACCCGTGTGACACACCAAGGTCGACATCAAAAAATTCAGATGTAGTTTGTTCTATCTGAACAATTATTTTCCTATATAGGATATATGATATTATCCAAGATGAAAATACTCCTCTCATGCCCAAAACATGGAGTTTTTCCTGTAGTCAAACACTTTAGATAGATCGAAAGAAAGTGCAGGAACATACTTCTCTTCATCCAGCTATAAGTATCCTCTTCCAATGTGTATAGCTACCCAATGTTTTCATATGCACTTATTCATTATTGTGTTTTCACATCATCATATTATCATGTTCCTAGCGTCATTAGTAGGTAGTTTCTCAGATCGAGAACTGTAACTAGATTCGACATAAGACTCTCTCTGTTTACATATAATGCCATGAACAGAGACAACTATGGGAAAAAAATCATCAAGTTCATCAAGTTCAGCAATTCAAACGAACAGAACTCATTATTATTTTCATTCTCATCTAAGTAGTTCTCTCAGAAACTGGACACTCTGCTGCTCTTGAACTCCTCATTCTCATTCAACCTGTCTAGTGTCCAGCTCCTTCTGGAGGGCGTTGTTCAATTGAAACTGATCGAATGTACTCAGAGCGGGACATTTAAAAAATCATGTATTTTCCTCCAATGCATATAACTACCCAAGATTACCAAATGAACTCCAGAATTGCTCTGAATTAGTTTTCATTGTGTACATATCATGTTCCTTACTCACTTAATATTCCCACAGATCTAGTACTTTGACTGAATTTGATGTATTCACATTTCAATAAAACTCAAAAATTGTTCAATTTTTGAATACTTTCGGTACTTTCTCCACTTGATCCTATGAATTGCATCTTGAACAAAATTCTTCACTGTCTTCTTTGTGGGATAAAATGAAACGAATAAATGTAACAAAACAATATATTATAAATATCAAGAAAGCTACGTTGTCATTCACGTTCAATCTACAGCATGAAATAGCAGACTGTAGGTGACAGAGAACTCCTGAAGCAGCAGTAGCACCACGAGTATATAGAAAAGCTTCACAGTCTCGGGTCCAAAGTAGTTCTCTATGAAACTGAACACTCTGCTGCTGCTCAACTCTCTGTTTTCACCGAAGCTATCCAGTTCCCCCTAGGCTAGGGCGTTGTTCAATTGATACAGATCGAGGGTAATCAGAGCGAGACTATAGTTTGAGAAATTATGTATTCTCCTCCAACCCAAAGTTACCAAATGAACTCCAGACTTGCTCTGAATCCGATATCATGTTTCTTGCTAACTCATAGTTTCACAGATCCAGTAGGTACTTTAACCGAATTTATTGTATTTTCATTTCAATAGAACTCATAAATTGTTTCATTCACGAATTCTCTCTTCACTCTATCATATGAATTGCATCTTGAGGAGAACAAAAGATAATTCTTTCGTGTATTTTTCCCTGGGATGAAATAAAACAAACGAATATAACAAAACAATATATTATAAATACAGAAATAAATAATAAATTGTTCTATAAGAACTACAGGCAACAAAGAGTAATACTTTGTGTAAATGAATACTCAAAATAGGAATCACACATTTGCTTTTTAGTTTGGTTTCAATACCTTAGTGCTCTAATTTTATACTATAGATACCATTATTATTCTTATTCTCATCCACCATAATCTCTGGCGAACTTTCAAACCCTATATTATCTACACCCTTGATATCCTTCTTCTCATTTCCCCTAAAGTGAGCTTCAATTTCCTCTAGAGTCTTATTCTTAGTTTCTGTCAGTATTGTTTTACAATAAATAGCAGATAATATCGAAGATACCACGAATACTAACAAGGTACCACTGAACTCCAACGAATCGATCATACTATGATAAATTTTGACAGTAACAAAGATCAGAATCTGAGCTATGCATATCACAACACCAGTCATAATTGGCCTCACTTGTACCGGAAACATTTCCCCAACCATTACCCACGGCACTGGTAGCATACCCACCATACTAAAGGCTACATTCAACATTACTCCTACTAAGGGCAAGTATCTGGCTACTTTCTCTTCACCTTGATGGACCTCGTAGTATTTCACGTAGACAGCAGTAATCAACATAGTTACCGCCATTCCTATACTCGACAGAGTACAAAGCATCTTCCTGCCTACTCGATTTATCAAGAAAGCTAAAACAACTGACATGGAGAAACGTATGGCCCCCACTATGATCGAAGCAACGTAATCATCCACGTTCAAATCAGTCTCCTCGAAGAAATCTACAGCATAAAAGAGCAGACTGTAGATCCCGGAGAACTCCTGAAGCAGGAACAACACGACGAGTATGAGGAAAGGCTTCACAGTCTGGGGCCCAAAGTAGTTCTCTCTGAAGCTGGACACTCTGCTGCTGTTCAACCCCTCGTTTTCATTGAACCTGTCCAGTTCCTTTTGAGCCAAGGCGTTGTTCCTCCTGAACCACAGGAGAACCTTGAAGCCTTCCTCAGTCCTGCCTCTTTTCAGCAGGAATGCGGGGCTTTCTGGGACGAACTGGATCATGAGGGCAGAGAAGAAGGCGAAAGATAGGCTGATGTAAGCCACCTTGGACCAGTCTATGAAGTAGCCCATGGTGTAGGTGAAGAGGATTCCGAATGAGGCGCATATGGGGCCGATCGCTTGCATGAAGCCTCTCGATTCCGATGTTGAGATTTCTCCTACGTAGGTGTAG